ACACAATATCATAATTTTGTTCCCGGTGTTAGCATGTACCCGTAAAATCGGTATTAGAAGCCGCATCCCTAATAGAAGCCGCACCCATTCTTTTTGAACAATTGAAAACCAAAAATTCACCATTTTTCATATGTGTAGATGCTCTAATAAAAGCCGCATCCCTTTCGTTGCATTGTGCCATTTTAATAGAAGTCGCAGTTTCTAATACAGATTTTACAGTAATATAGTTTATTTCTTTGTCTAGTAATTACACAATCTTACTAGGTTACAATTTCACATAAGACACCTAAGTTATTTATGTAAATGATATCTGTATACATTTCTTACTTTGTAGTAGATGTACTTCAAGGTTGTACATGAATTGGTACTTTGTCTTCTAAACTGAGATACATTTCAATAGTAGTCATATGCTATTTGATTCAGCTTGTATATTGCCTTTGTATTTTTTTTAGTAATGGAGAAAAAATAAATCTGATTTCTAAAATGTGTACTTGCATTTATTTATTGCCTACATGTCGCATTGAAATATGTATTACAAATCTATGCATATTAATTCCTAACATGCATAAATTCAACAATTTTCAACTCTTACACTTGTATACAATCAAATTCATATATTTTGTCATAATGTAACTATGTTTTCTGTTATTATTTTGACTTCAATTTTTATCTCAACCACGGCTGACATATTTTTTTTAGCTCTGCTGTCGACTTTGTCGAGCGGAGCTTATCATATGAGTGATTGTCCATCGGCATCCGTGTCAATGTTTTTCTTTTTCAACTTCTTCTTGAAAATTACAAGCCTGAATGCTTTAATACTTGATGTATATGTACCTTGGGTAGACCTCTCTTAGATTTGTTCATTGCATGATATCTTCAATTCTCTAATTTTGATGAATATCTTTGACATTTTTGGTAAAAAGTGATTTTTTCAACTTCATGTTAAAAAACGCAAGTCTGATCGATTGCTTTGATATTACATATATAGGTACTACAGGTAGACCTCAGATTTGTTCATTTCGTGATAATATCGCTAATTCTCTAATTTTGATGAATAGCAGCGGAGCTATCTCAGCCGAGAGGCTGCTTGTTTTATTGTATGTGGTGAATGTTATTTGGATGCACATCACTGTATTATGCATTTCTATAGGCTCTGTGCGAGCTGCTTGAAGAGCCGCTGAAAACATCACAAACTCACTTTTGAGGCTATCCTGAACCACCAAATTTATACATGTTGCACATGTCGTTCAGAAGTGTCTCAACTAAGTAGTTGTCTGGGAGTTTTTGACCATTATTTGGATGATTGTCAGACGGTGAAAATGCTTGGATGTTCTCTCTCAGGAAAAGATTACCTCAGTTTTTCATTGCTTTATTAGTTCCTGTTCGGATGAAGTCCGAAAACGGGGACTTGTAATTCGGTCTCTGTCCGTTCGTCCGTCCGTCAGGAGTCATATCTCAGAATCCCTTGGGCCGATTCCATTCATTCTTTGAATGTGCCTAGTACTTTATGTGGGACATATGCACATGCAGTGGTTTAGCGATTCGATTCAAAATGGCCGACTGGCAGCCATCTTGTTTTTTGAAAATGTCGTATTTTGGACATGCTTTGTCAGTTTTCATTCAAATTTAGTACATAGATCATACATGTTAGGATACATGTCCCTGACCGTTCGTGAGTTCCTGAGTCTGTCCGTCCGTGCGTCAGTCTGTCCAGAGTCATATTTCAGAATCCTGTGGACTGGGATTCCGTTCATTCTTTGCATGTGTCTAGTACCTTATGTGGGACATATGG